TCATCATTAAAAACAACAAAAAGTGAAGTGTCATCTGCAAATAACTTTACATTTGTATCTATTTCATGGGTTATATCATTTATAAAAAGTACAAAAAAGAACATGACCCAAGACTCTACCTTGTGGGACACCTGCAATTACTGACTTAAAATTAGTGCTATACCCTTCAAATACAACCCGTTGTTTCATATCTGAGTGATAATTTGAAAACAATCATAAAGAGTTCCACTTATTCCATATTTTTTATTTTGATTTATATATTTTTTCTACATCTTTGCCCCCGAAGACTCCGCTATTTACAACCCAAGTTTTGGTATCCCCTTGCCAAGCATACACCAAATGCTTGAAACAAGGGTTGGTCACAGGCACCACTGTAACAGGAGAGGAAAACTGCACGGCAATACCAGGTTAGAACCTGGGACCCTCCGAACTCGAGACAGACGCTCTACCGATTGAGCTACCTGGTTGTCGATGATCGACCAAGTCCAGTTCTGCTATACAGTGGAATCATCTGTCTTCGACATAGGAACTAGCCTTATCTGTCGGCTCAATACACGCATAATATTATTATATTATTGGTATATTAATAGACGAGGCTAGTACATGTGGTCTTGGTCATTGAGTTGTCTCACAGTCAAGGGTAACTCGTGATCCAAACTTATTATTACATCAAGTTCGATCATCTTAGACTTGTGTGGCAGATTTTAATTGTACATAGGATTACCGTCGCCTTCGAGCTAAAGGGAATTTTCCTTTAGCTCAGTGGGAGAGCATCCGACTAGTCGGTGATTGCTATTCGATCCCCGGTGGAAGAACACTGTATTTTTTCCTCATACAAATTGTGTCCGTGACCCTCCCTGTAGTGACAGGCAGTTAGAACCTAGGTTTTTGTGGTGTTCGAGGGGGGACACATTTAAAAAAGGGGAAGGAGTGCTGCAAACTTTCATTTTACATAGGATTACGGTCGCCCTCTAGCTTTGCACTTGAGGAAACTTTCCTCTTAGATCAGTGGTAGAGCAACTAACTAGGAAGTCAGGGGTCATGGGGTCGATCCCTGGTGGAAGCACACAGCTATCTTTCCTGTTACACTTGTATTTAGATCAACAAAAGCCATATCTGTATTTGTCAGATCAACGTTCCATTTCAGTGTCACTTGTTAAAATACCACTGTAAGAATATAAGACTTTTTCATGGCAAGGGTGTAGGATAGGGAAATTTTACCCAAGGGTTTTCAAATTGAAGCCTGGGGTTTTACCATATCTGAAAATCCAGAAGATTGATGTATCAAGGTGATAAGGCATATGATTCTAGAAACAGAAAATCTGTATCATTTACATTAACAATATGTTTGTATCTCAGACTGTGACTCCTTTGTCAGACTCAGGGTTTTTTCAATGAACAAGCAATAAAACTTGAAGGATGCTTCACCATGTGCACAGACACCATGTGATATACGCATTGCAAAATTTCAGTAAAATACCCGACTTTTCTAGTTCATTTTTTTTTTTATGAGTTTGAACTCATTAATGTCAAAATCTAATGTATAGAATGTACCAATACAAGGAATGACTCCTTTTTGACAAATCATTAAATATTGTAAAAATACCCTGAACCATAATTTTAGCTTTTTTGTGCAATGAATTGATGAAATTTGAGTATAAAGCAAGCTGTAAGGAAGGTGTTCTGCTGAGGTTTCCTCCCACATTAAGAAACCCCACAGGGTACCATTCAAGCCAATACGAGTGATAATTATAAGTGCACGCAATTTTTGTTATATAACTGAAGTTTATTATTATTTTTATTATGCATTGTTTTCAATGTTAATACTTATCTTTGAAAACATGAGTGAAATGACTGCCAAAGGTTGCCTCCCTTTTTGTCGGTCAAAGATGTTGGGCTCTGTACCTGACTGATTGGTTTACTCAACATCATTATTACAGTACCCTTCTAAAACTGGAGTACCAGTGACAGACTGTTTGTTTAAATCTTTTTATCACTATTCTGGTTTCTCCTTGGCCTTTGGTCACAATTAATGCCTACCTTATACTAAACATAGATTGGTTTAATCGTCAACATCAACGCATACCTTTTCAAAATTGGAGTGATGTCGACTGACTGTTTGCCTCCATTTGGATGGTCGGTGAACGTCAATCCTGTTTTATTCTTGGAGTCCGTCCTTAATTGATTATTTGGTATGTTTAATCTGCAACATCAACACATACCTTTTAAAAGTATTGATTTATGAATCAAAACTGATGACTGATAATATTACTTGATGATGTTCTTAATTATAATCCTCAATGTGTTTGTGTATACTCGTTTACATACCTCAAACCATTAATAGATTTTCCCCTTTATGTATAGATATAGCATCTGTGCTGTTGTTTGATCTAGTACTGTTCTTAATGATCATTCATTAACAGGTCACCAGCACATCCTGATACAATATTGATTTACTTGATTTTGTCTTGGAAAAATTATTCGGTTTCCATGGTTACTTGTCACCAATATTATTGATTCCAAACACCTGTGCTTGTAGCTAACGAGAGGACATGGAACTTACATGAGACAGAACTAAGACCTATCTGAAGGCTTTCTCAGGTTTTTGTATCGAACTGGATAAATGTAGTCAGTCACTGGTGGTGTTGTTTCTCTTGACATCATCGTTAATTAGCTGTTGGTTTAGAGTAAACATGGGATGTATAGAGCATACATAGAAAGTCTACGATTACAGAAAGTGTGGTATAATTCTGAACAAGACCTCACCGTTATACATCAGGCATCCGATCAGTTCGAAGACACACAGAACTCAGCTTTTTCAAATTCTGTGACGTTTGAAACTACAGAAATAAACATCATGAATGGTAGTAAGGTATTTACAGTTTCATAAGAAGAAACTTATGCTTATTCTTTGTAGAATTTGTTTTTCCTTTGCAGAAAATTTGATTATTAGCTAGGAGAGACAAAAAAAATAATCCTAGGAGTAATAGTTTCTTTGTTACATCTTGATAGTTCAGTGCAAAGTACAATTTTTGTAATCATGACTTTTCCATAATATTGAAATGTTCAGAGTTTTCAAAAAATGAACAGCATGCTAAAAAGACTTGTTTAATCCTGACTTTGTTCCTGTTCAAATGCCATTTTCCTGATTATGTAAAGTATTTGTAAATGTACAAAAAATTGTCTGATAAATGTGTCGTTCTAAAGTCTGTTTTTTTGTGTAATTTCTAGTAAATAACATTATTCTGAAGAATCATTTCACTGATATGTTCCCTTTTCCTTTTTTCTAAACAACATATTTTCACATCTTCGATTTAATGCCAAACCCCGTTATAATGCCAAAATTTTGCTGGACAAATGGTGGCGTATAGCCAGTTTTACACTGTCTTCCTGAGTATTTTTCATACTTTGCTCAGACCTTAATGTACTTTATTTAATATATTATAGTATTATCAAGCATCTTTGGTTAACCATACATGGTTGATGCCTTGTGTATGGTATGTCAACATAGGTGAAATAATAACAGTTGTATGATGAGAATTACCTCGGGTGTGTTATCATAACTAGCCCAATTCCACAAGGCAAGGGACGAGACATTGAGTGTTTCTTTTGTCAAGCACTGTATATTTCATACTTTATACATATCTCAGTTTTAATATTAATGATACATGGAAATGGCCAAGTAAGTTGTGCAAACTATCGTCTAAAAAACAGTCAAATTTCTTTGAAAGCCTACATATTGAAATATATGCTATTTTGAATCCACAGTGCAGGGAATCTTTCAATCCTGTATAAGTATTGGACAATTGTTATGTTGATGCTTTAGATGGTCACAAGTAACATTTACGATCTTAATCTGTTTATTTTGAATTCTTAAAAGAAGTCCAATTTTCCGCTTACTGACGAAATTTCATTACATTTTAGAGCTTCTAATAGAGAAAGAAACTGTATTTTAAGAAAAGAACTAGGTTGTACCAGTCACTTTGATACAACCTTTTACACAATGTACAGGTCATACTTAAACAGGTGGCAAGCTTTAAGTAGCAGATACAAAATATACAACCTACATATCAAAGAAAAAGTGATCTGATCTTTTTTGTCAAGTCGAAAATGTCACTTAATTACTGCAGCAGGGATCAGCTTGAGTTCCTTGCACAAGACATAAACAGATTTGATGGCTCCAGGGTACTGTACAAGTGTTATAATGAGTGTAGAGGTTGCTAGAATGTCTATTGACCTAATTTGAATATACAACAGATCAGAAGGTTTTACGATTATGTATATATTGGTGGCACACAATTTCTATTGATTGTTGAGTAGTATTGATGTAGTGCTGAGTGTAGATTGTCAGGCCTGTCACGAACACTCCTCGGCTTGAGCTCAACAACAGTGGTGGGAGCTAATTTATTTAGAAAAAGACTTTCAGGAAAAATACTGTAAAATGACATAATCATAAAAAGAAAAATTAGTCTCTGCAAAATAATTCTGATTCCTGTTGCAGCACGACATTAAAAACAAACCCTTTTGATTAAAAGTCAAACTGATCAAGGTGATTAGTAAATCATAATGACGGCCACCTGATGATCCTAGCAAGAACAAAACATGACTACTGTGGCTGAATCAAAATGTGCGTCTGGGGTGTTTTTTTCACAGAGAAGATTGAATTGGTCAAAATTATAATCTGTTGCCTTCATCAATATAGAACTTGGTACTTGACCTTTTTCTTGATTGCTATTTCAACCCCTTTGTGGTGTTTCTTAACCCTTTCACCACTGTAGACCATAATAGACTCATCCAGATCAATTGTATTCTACTAAAGTTACCTAGGGGTGAAAGGGTTAACTAGGATGGTAGACCATTATATAATCTATTTGTTACAATGTCTATCCTAATGAAGAGTCAAAAGTATGCAGTGAATGTTAATGTAACTGGTTAAGACATGATTTCTAAATAGTATAATACACCATTACTGACTCACTTAAATTTCTTTGTTTTTCTAGAAACCAGCAATAATGGCCGAATTGAGATTACAGAAGCAAGCACCCGAGTTCCGGGGGACAGCTGTGGTTGATGGCGAGTTTAAGGACATATCACTCGCAGACTACCGTGGAAAATATGTTGTGTTCTTCTTTTACCCAATGGATTTGTGAGTTTCCTTATATCTTAGAAAACAAGAATTTATTGATATTTGGATTGTGACATATGTTTTTCATTAAAATTATACTCGTATTGAAGTCAAAATCATTGCCATTGTCTGCATGTATCTTTCTTCACCCATAATTACATGTATGTTTTTTAAAAGTGTCTTGATCTAAAGAAGGTTTGCAATGCACAGTTATCAGGTCAGGTGTTGGTGACATTCACCTCAGGATTATAGTCTGAAATCACTGTAAAGCTATCTCCTTTTAAAAAAATTGATTGAGCAGAGATATATATCTCCTCTCCGACAAGGAATGTTAAGAAAGAGACAGTTATTTCAGCCTTAAAATTGGGGGGAAAATGGAAAAAAATCAGTTAATCTTGGCTGTGACTCATGTTGAAAAGACTAGCACTGTCCCCGTTTTGAAAGGTATTTTGATGATAAATGAAATGTATCAGCATCATTCATTGAAGGTTAACACAGTGTTTGGTCACTGTCTCAGTGTGACCTTCACCACTAGATCAAAGGTCAGACAAGTGCAAAATAATGATGCATATTGACTGAAATAGGGGAACATGATTTTGTTTACAAAAAAAATCTATTTAATTAATATTATTAATCAATGTAAGGTTCAAGTTTCTTCAGAAAATTTCATTATCATATACCAACAAACTCTCAACACTATATTCAATTAAAGATCTAATTAACACACTTGTTATCTTTCCAGCACGTTTGTGTGTCCAACGGAGATTATAGCGTTCAGTGACCGAATTGAAGAGTTCCGAGCCATTGATTGTGAGGTTATTGCATGTTCATGTGACAGCCAATTCTCCCATCTAGCATGGCAAGTATTGTTTATATTCTACTGACCAAACCACTTGTCATGGAGCTGAACTATGTACTCTCTTGTCACTGGCTTCAGGGAGAGGACCTTTCCTTTAGCTTAATCAGTAAAGTACTCGATGTGTAGACATAGTCAAAAATTAAAAACAGACCTCTGTCAAATCTTCATCAAGAAAATTGTTTTTAAAAAGGACAGGGTTAAATTAAAGGGACAAGACATTCTTTTCACAAACACACTGGTCCTTTGAGTAAATGGTTTTGAAAAGTACTTGCCAGAAAATAAAATATACTAGTCTCAAGTTATAAGCTTTTCGTAAAAACAGCCTTAATGTATTTGTGTATCTTAACAATATTAAGTTGTTCTCTGACAAGTAACTAATACAACTGTATGCTGTAAGGCCAAATAGACAAAGTACTGGAGTCTGGTCATCAGTCCATCAGTCCATCTAACACAATGAAACCTTTAACAATGTCAGAGGAAACATTTGGGGTAGAAAATATGATTGTGATAGAATGCAGAAATATATACAAAGCATCTCTCAAGTCTCTTGATGTAACAGTTTAAATGAGGTGTCAATCAGGTCATTTTGAAATCCAAGATGGCAGGGATTACAGTGTTACATTGTTCACTTTATAGGTAATATATCTACGTAGTTTTTTAGGTCACCTGAGACAAAGTCTCAAGTGACCTATTGCGATCGCCTTTTGTCTGTCGCCGTCCGTCCGTAAACAATTCACATTTTCGACTTCTTCTCCAAAACCCCTGAACCAATTTCAATGAAATTTTGCAGGGACCTTCCATGGACAAAGGTCAACAAAAATGGTTGCCGGTTTAGTCCTAAGCCCCCAGGGGCCTGAGGGGCGGGGCCAAAAAGGGTCAAATTGACTAAAATTTCAAAAATCTTCTTCTCCAAAACCCCTGAACCAATTTCAATGAAATTT